CCGACACACTGGGTTGTAGATTAATATTCTTTCGTTTTTATTATTATTTCATTTAGATTCCTCGACTAGTTTAAAAAAATGGCCATCATCAGGAGAAGAAATATTTCTGCTTGCTGGTAGCAGTGAACTACAGAAATGTATGTCTTGATGGAGAAAATGAACTTTTGTCTGTAGTTTTCATTTGTTTTTTTATTTTTTTTTATCTTTTTAACATGAATCTTTTAACATTCCTTGTGTTGGTCAAACAGTCTCTTTTAAGTTGTTATTTGAGATAAGAACTGGATGGATCCATGCTGCTCTGAATTCCCCTGGTCAGTTTGACAGTTTTATTGGTCCTGGAGAGGGGATGTGTGTATGTTATTTGGTTCTTAGGCAGTGAGTGAGTATGATATGTATAAGCATGTATATTGCTATGGGTGTGTGTTATCATTTGGCTCATTAGGGAGTGAGTGAGTATGATGTGTGTAAGTGTGTATGTTTGTGTAGGTGTGTGTATAAGTGTGAGGCCTCAACACCTCTGTAAGCATGTCTGTCTTGTGTGGGTGAGAAATGTGGGTAGGTTTTGATTTGTAGGTTTATATATTAATACTATCTATATTGTTAAATTTATGGTTTAGCCCAGCTGGATAGTGTGTTTTTAAACATTGTATCCACTTATTTTCATGGAACTCTAAAATCTTTCTAATGTTATCTGCTCTGATAAGCCATACATATATATATATATATATATATATATATGGCTTGATTGTGTTTAGCATGAAACATACTGTTGCATCTGGTATTGACCACAATGTCTACTGTTATATTTACATATGCTCTGTCCCTGATATTGAGCACTTTAACCCATAAATATAGTATACCTTAAAACTATATTTTATTTTATATATATATATATATATATATATATATATATTTGGGCTGAAAATCCACATGGAGGCTGTATCCCTTTTTTGGCATTCATGAGTCTCTACAGCTTCCTATTTTTTCTCCCTTATGATTACTCCTTTGTGGTACTCGTTCCTCCATCTATTTGTTCCTCTGCTTCTTGTAACCTTGATACATCCTGTGAATGTTAAATTCTTCAAAACTTCTTTCCTCATTACATATCCAAAAATCTTTGTTTATCTCTTTCTGATTGTCATCAACAGATTCTTTATAATTCCTATTCTCCTTAAAACAGCCTCATTCATTACATGCACTGCCACTGACTTTCTTGACATTTGTTGGTAGAATCACATCTTGATGGCCTCAAGTCTTTTTTCATTTGTGATAAAATTGTCCAGCTTTCACCACTGCCATGTATGATAAGAGACATCATATAGCAGTCCAACACACTTTCCTTCATTTCTAATACATTTTTCAATCCTATAGTACATTGTGGTTTCTGAAAAGTATCTTACATTATTACAGTGTAACTTCAAATTTACACATTTTGTCCTCTGTTATTACACTGCTCAGATAGTCAAATTTCTACACTTGTTTAATTTTGACATCCCTAATATGTAACTCTTGTCTTGGGTTGCTCCCTTTTGCTCACCACAATGCATTGTTTTCTTACAAGCAATGGTCAATTCTTTCTTTGTTTTTCTTGAATGCCATTCAGTTATCCTTCTGAAGCTGCCATCAACACAGTATCATCTGCATAGCATTTGTTGCTAAGGTTACATCTGCCAATAATAATCATCTGCTTGTACATCCTAAATAATTAAATAACTATTATTATTATTATTTGTCTCAACTTTGAAGAAGTATTTCAAATCCATTTTCCATGTTATTATAAAATCCTCTGAAAAATATCTGCTCTGATCTCTATTGCTCTTTGATTATGTGTGCTGAAAAAGATCTTGTTTTCTTGTAGAGAGCCTCAGGTAAGATGGCATTTGAGGAAAGGGAAAGAAATCCAAAGAAAGAAATGGAAATAATTTTTTTCTTTTTTCTTTTTTGTTGACATTTCAATGTATTTCAAAAAATCCACTTCAGGCTGAAATTGGTTTGCAAAGAAACTTTCTATGTCCCTCAGGGTACAAGACTGTAATCTTGTTCTTATTGACACGTTGTTTTATGTCAGTCTGTGGCAGTTTCTTTACAGTTTGGATTTTTTCTCTTACTCTCATTTTTTTCCATTAATTTTCAGAGGAGTCAAAATTGCTTGCAAAATACCAAATCGAGCATTACAAAAGGAATGTGCTGAAATCCTGGAGACAATGAAGGTTTGTGAAAAGACTTTATTAAATCCAGATTGTAATGTTTTTGAAAGAACCTGAAGGGATCGTCAACTTGTCCATTTGTATTTCTAGTAATCATTGTAACAAGAATTTATAAGAGAATTTAAGGATTAGAATGTCTTTCGATACTCACAGTTTTTGTTTTAAATGTAAAATGTTAGAGTGCTATGGAAAGTCTTTTTTGTTATTTTATTCACTTTAAATTCTTTTCCATTTTTCAGCAATGGCCAGAAGCTGCACTTCTTTATGAGAAAGGGGCTTTCTATGATAAAGCAGCTTCAGTTTATATCAAAGGCAAAAACTGGTGAGTTCTTCATCCACCCCCCCCCCTACACACACACACTCCCCGGCTTCAATTAATATTTATTTTATATTTAAATACATATGGCTGGAAATTAGGGTTTGGGGAAAGCTGTTAATCTTCACTATCCTGACATTAACTTGTTACATTCAGTGACACAAATATTCTTTTTTTATTTCTTTTCACCATCTTTTTGCAATTATTTAATCAACAGACACTAAAACTTGATATTCTCTTGACAGAAATTCTAACTAATGCTCATATTTACAATTTAAGTTTGGTTGCTTTTGTTTAGCAGCATATCAACATCTCTATGGGTTATTTAATGCTGAAATGTAAATATGAAAATTCAAAATTTATAATTAATTCAAGTGAATGACATTACTTCATGATTATTATTATCATTACTTAGCTGCATTTATTTTAACCAAATAATTTTACAAAAATCAAACAAGAAGTGAAAACTGGATTCTTCTCATAAAAAATGAGATTAATTGTAGCAAATTGATTTTTTTCTTTACTTATTTTTTTTTTGACAATGTATATCATGGCATCAATTTTACTATAAAATGTATTGTTGGTCATTTTATTATAAAATGTTGGTAATTATACTATAAAATATATTACTGGTCATTTTGCTTTAAAATGGCTGGCTGATCATTTTGCTTTAAAAATGGCTGGCTGGTCATTTTGCTATAAGAATGTATTGCTGGTCATTTTGTTATAAGAATGTATTGCTGGTCATTTTGCTTTAAAAATGGCTGGCTGGTCATTTTGCTATAAGAATGTATTTTTATACTTTCCTAGAGTTTTGATTTTTGTTTGGGTGAGGGGTTCACTACTTACCCATAGTTGGAACCCTAACAGGTACTACCCCCCCAGATCAGGGTGACATGAGGACAAAAGCAGTAATTAATGTGTGGTTTCACACTCCTCAAAACATACAATCTTGCAATCAGAGGTCTTGTTGCTGGATGTAGTTTATCATCATACCCAGGATAACAATTTAAGTGGGAGTGGAGTAAAAACAGACAATTCAAGTTTATAATTAAAAAAAAAAAATTCCTTTGATGATTTAATATGATAAAAAAAATATTTACAGCAAATATTTACAAAAATATTCCCATTCAATCTTTTTGAAATTGTATTTTTTTTCTTTCTTTCATTTATACTAATCTAACACCTATACACTAATGGGGCAAAAAACAAAGCAAGAGTCGTGCAGGTAAAGTTCCAAATACTTACAGATGAAGAAACACTCTAAATGGATGCTTCTCAAACCTGGGTAAATTATCCCAAATTGATCAAAAGTACTCCAATGAGGTGTAAAGCTCTTAAGCCTTTATTACATATGCTGGAATTGATATCAAGAACTGAGCTTAGGAACATTGATTTCCCAGAGTTTGTCATTCAAATTTTAATTTTAAAATAAAAACATTAATCACACACTGACTCACTATCCAGTTTATTGTCTTCTTTCCTTGATACAAGGGTTGGATGTTTTGGAAGTCTGCTACACTGTACTTCTCCAGACTATTCTATCTAGATCTATATCTTTCAAATTCAGTTTCTTGTAGTAATTGTTGACATTTTTTTCTGCAAGTTTTCTTTTGTCATCCTTTGCTATGACTTCTATTGACCTACCATGGTGATTCCAATATATAATGCTTTCAGCCTTTTTTGTTATAGTGGCTGAAATTGACATCAGGAACTAAGCTTATGAACACTGATTCACCAGAGCTCATAATTATAAGATATATACTCAAGTATAGTATGTGTTTTTATGAACATTAAATTGGTGACTGGTTTTTGTCATGCAGTAAAATGACTATCAGATGTCATTCTCTTCTAATGTGTCATTCAAATGAGCCAGTTGCTCTCTATACAATTGAAGACATTCTGGTGACTCATAATAAAGAATTCCCTTTGAATCCTGCCATCTTCAGAGCAGATCATTTTCCCTCATTGGATTCAATTGGAGCTGGGGTAAAAAATTGCAATGCTTTTCTTAATAATAAATCAATTTTTATTGCAGGTGGATTTCTTTAAATTTCATTTTTTTTCTGTATGGAGTAAAAAGAGAAAGACAAATGTTCACATGATGATTGATCTTCCTTTCTGTAAGATCATTTGGAAACGATTTGCTTTGCTTCAGAATTTTTCTAAGACTTCTAAATAGCTTACAAAAGATGACTAACTGTACAAGCAATACAAAATTTATTCTGATGTAGAAGCACAGGCAGCTGTTTCATAAATTTGTTGCTTTATTCTTTCCACCCTCCCCTTGTCATATTGCTATAATTATTATAATGATTTGTGTCTTGTATTTCTAGGGCAAAAGTTGGAGAGTTGCTTTCAAATATTACTTCTCCAAAGATCCACATTCAGTATGCTAAAGCTAAAGAGGCAGATGGCAATTATAAAGATGCAGTTGAAGCTTATAGATTGGCTAAAGATTGGGACAATGTCATCAGGTAAGCTAGTGTATATATATATATATATATATATATATATATATATGAATTATATAAAAATTAAACTCAATTGTACCCCATTTATATGACCATTTCATTCCTCAGTAGATTTCTCTCTTAGAAAAATTCCCTGGAGCTTGTCAATATTAAAATGTTTGATAAAAAATGAATCATGATATTTTTTTTTTTTTTAAATTGAAAATTAAAAAAGATAGGAAGGAAGAGGAAAAAAAGAGAGGAAAAAAGAGGAACAACTGCAAATAAGGGAAAAAGACATTTAAAAGGGAGATAGAGAGAAATTTGAAAGATCTAATAAAAAATTGATAGACAGGACTTGTCCATATTATTTAAAATATATATATATATATATATATATATATGCACAAGTATAGGATTTGTGTATACAGAATAAATTCCAATAACCAAAAATAATATTTTTCAGAGTGCTCAATACATAGTAGAGCAAATATAATTTATTTGAAAATTATAACATAAATTTTTTAAATTGTTTATTCTACATCAACACATCATTTGATAAGACACCAGAAGTGTTGAAACGAAATGGCTATTTTTGTAGTGATTTTATAACATATTTATGTTATAATTTTTGAATAAATTATATATATATATATATATATATATATATATATATATATATATATATATATATGAATTTTTATATATCAATAATAATTTTAGAAAATCTATGACAAAGTGAAAAAAAAGTTTTCATGTGATACATTTCATCCTTTTGGGCTTCATTGGCCTAAAGTGATATTTGTATAAACCTCACTCAATAAATTGGATTGATTGGCACTGCCAGTTTAGTCACCAACCAACCAGCAATAAATTTCATATATATATATATATATATATATATATATATATATATATATATATGCACATATAGTTATCCTCCTAATAAACTGGCTGTCAACCAAGGCTATAGGGCCCAGTTTGTCCTGCTATTTACCCATAGCTGGATGGAGAAGATATGGCTTCATATCTTTCCCAAGGTTATTTCTATGTAAGTGAATGTGACAAACTTGACTGGAATTTGAAATTGGCTCTTTGATTTCTAATTTTTAGCCATTATTCTTTACGCCACCTGCACATCCAACCTTAAAGATCTGTTAGAACTGCTCAGCAACCTTGACATATTTGTGAAGGATATTAGAATAATCAAAAACCTATAATGTCTGCAAACTTCCTACATATGGATAGAAAATGAATTCAGCAGATATGCAAAAATAGAAAGGCCTGTAAGAGAAGGTGGTGTCTTTTTGTAAGACAGGTTTAACCTATACAGCAAGACAATTCTGAGAGAATTAGATGTGCTGCCAGGATTTTTTGTTGTTAGCCACAATCTTAATAACATAATATATGCAGATCACATAGCAGGCACGGAAAGGAAACTACAAAAGCTCCTACCGATGGTAGCAAAGGAAAGCAAGAAGAAAAGACTAAAGACAGAATGCATGGTTCTCGGCCAAATGGTGAGCCCAAAATGCAAATTACATATGAAACAAATATGGAAATTTAAATATCTGGGAAGTGTTCTTATATGTGCTCACAATTTCTTAAGTGCTACAATGGACAGGAAGATGTGGGGGACCATGATCGCCTGCTCCTGAAGGGACATGGCATCTAAAGAAGTATTCCCAAATGGTCACTCACGTAGCTACTGACAGACACAATGTTGTTTAATTTCTGCAATCAGCCGAGAACCGGTGTTTCAACATGATATATATGATGATTAATAGGAGTAGATAGATTTGTCTATCGCCCAGTTCACACTCCTCCTTTGTCTTTTGAACAGGAGTAGAGGTTTACCTCTAGTTTCCTGTTCAGGATTTGGTTTCCAGTTCTTTCTAAAGTTTTCTCATTCCCTTTGACTTTCAGTAGCTCCTTACATCTTAGTGACCTTATCACATTGCTTGGGGTGAATTGATTAAAAATATATATATATATATATATAGTACTGAAGAAGTTTGGAACCATTTCAATGATTTGATGTCTTTGAGCCCTTTTTCTATTTAAACAATCCATAGTCCTCTTTGTAGAATGTGAAGGCCAATTTTCGTATCTTACTGAATATATTCTTTATCTTAAATTGTTTTGGTTGTGACCTGTATGACACAAAACACATCTTGTCCTAGAATTTAAAATAATTCACTGTACTTATCTTAGCACTGTGATCAACTTATAGGTCTCTATAATTTTACTGCCTACAATACTAGCCTTTAGCAACATTACTTTTACCTTGTTGTGTTCTAAGTCATGTTGGTTGACTTTTTCCATAAAGGACCCAAGCCTTTAGCCAAATCATCAGCTCTACATTCATCACTGAAACTGACTGTTGACAAATGAGTTTTCATTTACTTCAGTGTCTAACTTTGTCTTTCTCTTTGTGATGTCTACTTAAAAGATGTTGTCATTTCTTCAGCCAATGTTCTTAAATTTCTGCATCTTTTTGCACTCTGTTTACGTTCCCAACATCAGCTTCCTCAGATATTGTCTTGATGATCAATCCAATTTTCTTGTAATACTATCCTTTTAATTTTACCCATATCTCTTTTTCTCTTATTTTTAAAACCACCTTTCTTTTATCTTTTTCTTATCTTGCTAATGTTTTCAATTTCTTTTTTGATTGTTCCTTGAATTTTGCTCAACTTTTTTTTCACAATTTCTAAAGTTGTTTTCCCGTTGCTCAGTACCTTTTTTAAAATATTTTGTTTTTCAATGGAGATTTTATCTTTCTTATGCCTCATGGCAATCTTTATATATCTGAAATTAAAAAAATATCTCTAACTATATGTATGTATGTATGTATGTATGTGTGTGTGTGTGTATATATAATATATATATATATATACAAAGTTGTGATCCTATGACTCAGTGACTTTCCAGTATCATATTACTTTTTCGAAGTTATATCTTTCTTATGCCAATCTTTATATATTTGAAATTAAAAATGTCAATAATTATACTATTATATGTATGTATGTATGCATGCATGCATGTCTGTGTGTATATATATATATATATAGACAAAATGAAAACTTACTCAACACGTTTTGTCTTTTGTCTTTATTTATAGTCCTTTTGCAGATATACTCTATCTGAAATTTTTACACACACACACACACATATATACACACACAAACACATTTTCAACATGATGATCACTCATTGTGTTGCATAAAATCTCATACCACCAAATAATTTATTTAAATATTTTTAATAAAAATAAATGTTCTAAGCTGAAATTCACATAATTGATATATTATAGAAATATACCTTGAAAATTTTATCAGTATTAATAGCTTAATATCAATTTTTATTCCTAAAGCATTAACTTGAATAATAAAATTTGATGCTGTTATTGTCTAGTCTATAAAATTGAATGTATAATTAAATAATTATGTCATACAATCTATTTTCACTGTTTACTAATGACATAATCCATTGTTATGGTAATTTACTTCATCCCAATATTCAAAGTCCTGTATTACCATAACAACTGAATATCTCATTTTCATGTAGAGAAGATCATTATGTAGAGTAGGTTGCTAATATATTACTTATTATTTTTTGTATTTTGTGTGAGATTTTGTCAGATAATTTTATTTTTAATGTTTTAAAAAGTAGGATTCTTTCTTATATCTGAAAATATTTATATAGATACAAATCCTAAATTACTTATTCAAAAAATATAACTAATGCAATGTTTAATATATTTTTAATTTAATATTTTCAACATTTTTTTGACAGTATGGGCAAATCAATTGTGTTTGTGTGAAAATTATATATATATATATATATATATATATATATATATATATATATATAAAAAAAATTTCTCAGAATTGTAAAAAAGACAATATGTATAAAAGAAAAAAACAATAAGAAAACTGTAGTTTTATCCAACGTGTTTCATCCAATGTGGACTTTTCAAGGCGAAAAACCAAAATGAATTCATTGAAACAAAATATTTATAAACAATTGTCAATTACTTTGTTTGAAGAGAATATTTTCACATATAGGAATATTGTTTGTATTTTAGTGTTGATAGATTCATTTTCTTTTGATTTCTTGATATATTTATTGTGTATATTAGCCTGAGAGAGTAGTGATTCTGCTAGGAAAGGTGGTATTGGAAAAAAAACGGTGTAGATTAATATCTGGATAATAGTCAATGGCACATTTTGAAAAAGTCCACATTGGACGAAACACGTTGGCTAAAACTACACAGTTTTCCTATTATCTTTTTTCTGGATGATGAAACAAAGTGGAAAATTGTTTTGTCAAAGATGCATTTCAGGAAAAAATCTGTGTTTTCTTTGGCTTCTTCAGTTTGATAATGAAAGAAAGACAAAAACATTGTGTGAAAAAATGTCTTGGGATCTCTAACAATAAGTGTATATCATAGATCAAATTTAGCTTATCACCTCATGATTTAGGCTTGAAGGGAGTCTGTTGGGTTTGTTTGTTTTATCTCTATCAGAGCTGTTCATCATTAATCATAGCTAAGGATTAGAAGATCATGAAGTATTAAAATAAAGTTCAAATATATATTATTCCAGGATCATTTTCCAACTTATTCAAGATGATCTTTGTCCTCTTTAACCTTCTAACTTTCTGTCCTGGAGTAACAAGATGCTTCACACATTTCATGTACAATTTCATTTTCAAATCTTTTTTCACTCTTCTTTGAAATGCCATAGTGGAAACTCCTCTCTCGTATGCCAAACATCTTATGAATTGAGTTGGATCTTTTCTAATTGATCTCTTTAACTCTAAGTTGAAATGATGATCCCTCTTCCTATTGTGACCTCCTGATCCAGTATTCTTCTTCTCTACTGTTCCTTCTTTTTCTTTGGAATGGACTTTGAAGATGGAAATCAGAGTCTGAATGTTGGTACCATTACTGAATGAACTTTTTCTTCTTGTCACTGCTCAGTTGAAAAGACAGTGAGGCTGGCATAAAACAATTTTAA